GGGGCGGGGACTCCTGGGTCTGAGGGAGGAGGGGCTGGGGGCCTGGATCCTGGGTCTGAGGAGGGAGGGGCTGGGGTTCCAGATTCCTGGGTCTGAGGAAGGAGGAGGTAGGGGTCCAGACATCTGGGTCCCGGGCAGGAGGGGCTGGTGGGCATAGTGTCTGTCTCCCTTCGTCGCCCACCCCCTCTAGGTACACAGGAAGACCCTGAACCCCGTGTTCAATGAGACATTTCAGTTCTCCGTGCCCCTGGCTGAGCTGGCCCAGCGCAAACTGCACTTCAGCGTCTATGACTTTGACCGCTTCTCCCGGCACGACCTCATCGGCCAGGTGGTTCTGGACAACCTCCTCGAGCTGGCTGAGCGGCCCCCTGGCCGCCCGCTGTGGAGGGATGTCGTGGAGGGCGGCTCGGTCAGTGGCTGCTGCATCCCCCATCCCGGGGACCTGGGACCCCTCAGTTTGCCATCTCCTTGCCCCCCACTTCATAACCTTGTAACTCCTTGATCCTGGAGTTTTCTGTTTAGCTTTATTTTGTTGTAAAATATTGCAAACGTACAAGCAAGAATAGAGACCGATATAATGGACCCCCATTCCCCATCCGCACTTTGTCAACTATTAATATCATAACTGGGCCCCAGGTTTCCCAACTTCTGACACCAGCACCTCACCCCCCCACCCCGTTGACATCTGATGGTAACCATTGAGAAAACTATAATAGACGCCCATATACCCACCGGCCAGCTTTGTCAAACTTCGATGCCATGACCCCCTGACTTCTGCCCGCTGGCCCTAGATTCCTGACCCTCCAACTTCGCAAGCCCAAAGTTCTTGGCTTTTGTTTTCCCAACTTCCTTCCCCTCACAACCTCCCAATTTTCCAATTCCCAGACTTCCTGAACTCCCCCAACCCCTCTGAACTCTGAACATTTTGTTTCAAACCCCTGACTTTCAGATTCTCGAATATAATCTAATCCTCTGTCTCTTCATGGTCTCCACTAGAATCCTGATAGCCTGATGCCCCAAGCCTCGGACATACTGGGATCCCCAATATCCTGACATCTCCCCAATTCCCCCAACACCCCCCATGGGCCCCTTCCTCATTTCTTACGACCTCATTCTCCTGTATATCCAATCCTTCCCCAAACCCAGCCCCTAGGTCTTCGTTGGGTGTCCTGACCCCTTCCACGCCCCAAACTTCACACCCTCCCAACTCCTCAGCCCTCTCAGTTCCAATCTGTGGGTTTCCCAACATTCCAGCTCTCTGCCAATCTGGGGTAGCTGTGTGTGTCAGGGCTGGGTGAGCCCTGTCCTCATATCACGAGAGGGCTGGTTTTGCCCACCTGATGGCCCTACTCAAGGTCCTTCCCTTCTCTGAGCCTCAGTTTCCCCATATGTACAATGACACGGTTGAACCAGGTGCCCATGGCTCTTCCTAAAGTACCCTTCGCTGGACTCTCCAGAGCCTGCTTGCTCAGTCCCCCAAGCCCAGCCTGTGAGAACCACGTGCCTAGTTGTAGGGTCCTGATCCCCAGGACCCACCTAGCCCCACTCCCTGTCATTCCCTGAGGCAGCCCCACCCGAAGGCACTCTCCTGCATCCATCTTTGTCTCCTTTTGTCACCTCTCCTTTTCCCTCCGCCTCCCGATAGCTCCAGGTATCGCTCATTCTTTCATTTATTCATGCTTTCCTTCAACAACTGTTTTTTTCAGGATCAAGACCTCGGGAGCTGTGGGTCTAAGTTGTCACACAGTTTGCTGTCAGGGAGCCAGCATTACGGGGACACACAGTGGGAGCATCTGCTCAGGGCTGCAGGGAATCTGGGAGCTTGTGGGAAGAGGTGACAGCTAAGCCGAGGCTTGTTGGCTGAGAGGAGATGGGGAGGAAGGGTATTTAAGCCAAGGGAACAGCCTGGGCAAAGCCTCAGGGGACTGAGTGGGGAGTCTAGGGACCTGGGCTCCTAACAGTGTGGTTGGGAGGTGAGGGGCCGAGATGAGGCTGAAGGATGGGACAGGCGGGTCATAGGTCCCCTAGCTCTGGCCACTGTTCCAGGTCCATCTGTGTGTGTCACAGCGAAGGGTCTGCCTTCCTTGTAACCTCTGTCTGGTTCTTGGCTGTCTCCTGCCTTAAGACTGACCTTTCTGTGTCTTTTCTCTGCCCCACTCTCTCTGGATCTCTGTCACTTTCTCAATGTAGGTCTCTGCCTCTGTTTCTCTCTCTCTCTCTGGGTCTTTTCCCCTCCCCTCTCATTCTGGGTCTCTGTCACTCTCTCTGGGTCTCCATACCCCCCACCAAGTCTCTGTCCCCCTCTCTGGATCTCTAGTCCTGCCCCTTGGGGACTCTGTCACCTCCCAGGCCTCGGTGCTCCCTCTGAGTCTATGCCCCTCTTCCTCCTACCCACCCCCTCTGTGCTCCCCTGTCTGGGTCTCTACCACCCCTCTCTCCTCTGGGTCCTTCTGACTTTAGAACTCTGTGGGTCTGTCTTTCTGACTGTATCTCTCAGAGTTTGCATCTCTGTCTCAGTCTATTTCTCACCGTGTTCTTCTCTCTCTCTCTCCCTCTTTCTGTCCCTCTCCTGCTCTCTCCCGCTCTCTCCCCCCACCCATGCCTCTTCCAGTCTTCCCTGCAGAACAAATAGGATTTGACGGTGGCAGGCAGCTGTGGCCGAGGAGTTACCAGGTTTGGCCCGAAGTCAGATTGTTAAGTGGATCAGAAACCTGAGCCCTGGAGACGTGAGAGGACAGCTGGAGTCTGGGGATGGGAGAGAAAGTCAGGGAGAGACAGTGGGAGGCTGAGGCAAGGCATCGCTGACCCTCTTTCCCCAACTGCAGGAAAAGGCAGATCTTGGGGAGCTCAATTTCTCACTCTGCTACCTCCCCACCGCCGGGCGCCTCACCGTGACAATCATCAAAGCCTCTAACCTCAAAGCAATGGACCTCACCGGCTTCTCAGGTGGGTTCCGGGAAGGCGCTGGCATCTGAAGGTGGGGGAGGGGCTGGGTCTGAGGGAGGAAGGGCTGGGGGGTCTGGATCCTGGGTCTGAGGGAGGAAGGGCTGGGGGGAAAAAGGCTGCGGATCCAGAACCTTGGATCTGGGAGAAGAGGGGTCTGGGGTCCACAGTCGGGTCTGAGGAAGTCGAGGTTCAGTGCTCTCCACAACCGCCCCCAGACCCCTACGTGAAGGCCTCTCTGATCAGCGAGGGGCGGCGTTTGAAGAAGAGGAAAACCTCGATCAAGAAGAACACGCTGAACCCCACGTACAACGAGGCGCTGGTCTTCGACGTGGCCCCCGAGAGCGTGGAGAACGTGGGGCTTAGCATCGCGGTGGTGGACTATGATTGGTGAGGGCGCGGGGCGGGGCCGGGGGCGGGGCCGGGGGCGGGGCCGGGCCTGCCTCCCTCCCTCTCAGGTGCTCACCGACCCCCCACCCCTGACCCCCAGCATCGGACACAACGAGGTGATCGGCGTGTGCCGCGTGGGTCCCGACGCCGCCGACCCCCACGGCCGCGAGCACTGGGCCGAGATGCTGGCCAACCCGCGCAAGCCCGTGGAGCACTGGCACCAGCTGGTGGAGGTGCGTGGGCGCCACCCGACGTCCCTCCCACCGCGTTTGCCCCTTCACTCACGCAACGCGTCACGTTTCTGTGGGCTGTGGAGTCAGCGTAGGTTCGAACCCCCGCTCTACCATCTCCAGCTGTGTGATTTAGAGCAAGTTACTTGAACTCTCTGTGTCTCGATTTCCTCTGTTGGGAAATGGGACCGTTAATAACACCTATTGTTAGGATAGATGTGAAGATTCAGTGAGTTAATGCAGGACTAAGTGTCTGCCTCTTAGTAAGGGCTCAGTAAATAGTCAGCTACTATTATTATTATTACCCATGGTGCTAAGTCCCAAACAAAAGGAAAACACTAGGTGATAAAATAGAGCGGGGTTTTCTTTATTTGTTATTTAAAGCAGGCTGTGAAAATTGAAATGAATAAGAAAATAAAGTTGAAGTAGCACAGAACAGACATTTTCACAGGGCAGCAAACCGAGGATCATAGTGTTAATTTATTTTTCTCCCTGTCAGTTGTGGTCCAAAACGTTTTGGAATCTGGGAGGTAGAGGGAATCTGGATGGGGGATGGAGGATGCCCTTTAGATTAGGGGGTCATGGAGGGCTTCTTGGAGGAGGTGACATTTGAGCAGAGGCCTGGAGGTTGAAAAGGAATGGGCTCAGGTGAAGAAGATTGTAGGGAGAGGGCAAGGCTGCCCGTTCCTGTTCCTCGGAATCATCGAGGAGGCTGATGTCAGCGGTGAGCCTGGAGCAGACAAAGAAGGGGTACGAGCAGATCCCAAGAGGCCTTGTGGGTCACGCAAGAACCAGCCTGACAATTTTTAAATTAGAAATTTCAGATCATTACTTGGCCAAGAGAAATTTTCAAACGTGGTTCTCTCATTTGAAACCAAGAAAAGCAAAGAAGTAGCTTTTGAAGTTATTGATGAATTTGCTGTCACTAAAGCCAAGAAAGTAAAATTATACTAAATTCTTTGTAGGGTATAAATTAAACATTTAAACTTAAGAAAATATGAATTTCAATACACTTACTCTTCTTTTTTTTTTCAATATGTTCT